TCTTTTTTAGGGCAAAAGAGGGATTGTCCTCTATAAATAAGGGGGGAAAACATTCTGTAAAGGGGGATGGAGGGATCTTACGAACCTTGGCTAAGAGCATCCGTTACAATATCTTTCTACATTCAAGGTTATCATATTGATGCTTAATCATTCGGTTTCGAGATATTAAGAAGCATTATTCATCTTGTTCATCCCCTGCATCTTTCAATCCAGAGTTTATTATACTTGGCTGAGATTTACCTCTTCATCTTCTTTAATTGATTTAATCAAAAAGGTTTCAATCTCTTTTGGGTCAAACAGCCTACAATTGGATGCACATGTATATAAGTGCGCCTTATGCTAAGTTGTTCCCCTTTGCTGTAGCTGTGAATTTTATCCAGCGATAAGTATATGCTCTCCTGAAATTTATCCTGAATTATAGCTCGTTTGGCCAAGCTGCAAAAATCAGCTTATTTTGAGAAGTGCTTTTTTTCAAAAGTACTTTTGGTGAGAAACAGTTTGTGTTTGGCTAATTAATTTGAAAAGCACTTCTGAGCAGCAATTAGTGTTTGGCCAAGCTTTAAAAAACTGCTTCTAAGTGTATTTTTCTCAAAAGTGCTTCTCAGGAAAGTGTTTTTGGATAGAAGCTACTTTTTCTGCTTCTCCTCAAAAGCACTTTTTTCCTTCCTAAAGCTTGGCCAAACACCTCAATTTTTGGCCAAAAGTGCTTTTGGCCAAAAAAAAACACTTTTGACCAAAAAGAAGCTTGGCCAAACAGGCTATTAATCATATTACCATCGCATGAATATTGGTTCATTTGTGATCACATCAACTCTTCGTGTATCCTAAACTGATATGCATGTATATTTTATCATTGACTTGGTATTCTGTTTTCGGGTTGCATTTTCCGCAGTTCTTTACAATTACAATTCCTCAGAGATTTGTCGAGGCACTCATATTGTACTTGTTGGTTGTTTGAATATATGTTGATACTCTATATTGGTATGTCTATTTGAATATGTACAAACTTTTATAAAGGTTAAGGAAGAACAGGTAGATTTTATAAAGGTCCACTTACTTGATATCTACCGGGAAAGTGAGGTTTTCTTTACCGTATGGAGTGCCCCTACTGTTTCAACAAAATAATCGAAGTTGTGCTATCAGGGTCTATTACTCAAATGGTCACTCAATTATCCCAAATTATCTCCTAAAGTCACTTTTCTTTGTTTGTAACAACAAAGTCACTGAACTATGCCTATTGCACTCAGAAGAGCACTAACTATTTTACATTGCCAAAGACCTATTTTACCCTCTAAATTATAAACATTTATCTTCTTTTTATTTTTTTTTAACTTTTTAATATTATGATTTTTCCCTTTTTAATTTATATTATGAACTTACCTATAGAATAAATAAATATTATTTGTCAATTAAAAAAATAAAAAGTATTTAAGCATCTTTAATGCTGGAATAACAAAATATGAACATAGTAAAAACATTAATTAGAATAATTTGTTCGTAATAATCATTTTAGTATTAACAACAAAAATTCAAAAATCTATTTACACAATTCAAAATTAAAGAAAGTAAAGGTTGTAAAATATATATTCCATGCACGAAATATAAAAATAATTATTTAAATAAAGGTATTTTATAATATATATTATATATTCTTGAAAATTATTCCTCCTGCTTTTTGGTGACTTAACTTTGTGTAGTCGGAAAGTTGGTAGAAACATAATAATATAATTGAGCATAATTTTCAAGAATATATAATATATATTATAAAAATACCCTTATTTAAATAGTTATTTTTATATTACGTGCATGAAATATATATTTTACAACCTTTATTTATTTTTCATTCTGAATTGTGTAAATAGATTTTTGAATTTTNTTCCCTTGTTCTATGATGTATGTGAATGAGTACGACCATCGAGCTTCGTACCATGTATTTTTTGACCATAGGATGATATTCTTTACATGTTTGGACCTCCAATCACGGTAAGTTTAACTCATACGGGGATAGTTATTTTTATATTACGTGCATGAAATATATATTTTACAACCTTTATTTATTTTTCATTCTGAATTGTGTAAATAGATTTTTGAATTTTTGTTGTTAATACTAAAATTATTATTACGAACAAATTATTCTAATTAATATTTTTACTATGCTCATTATTTTGTTATTCCAGCATTATAGATGCTTAAATACTTTTTTTAATTGATAAATAATATTTATTTATTCTATCGGTAAGTTCATAATATAAATTAAAAAGGGAAAATCATAATATGAAAAAGTTTGCAAAAATAAAAAGAAGATAAATGTTTATAATTTAGAGGGTAAAATAGGTATTTGACAATCCAAAATTTGATAAATCTAGTTGAGTGTACTTCTGAGTGCAATATGCATAGTTCAGTGATTTTGTTGTTACAAACGAAAGAAAAGTGACTTTAGGAGATAATTTGAGATAGTGTGGTCATTTGAGTAATGGACTCCTAAATTATACTATATCTATCTTATTGTCACATACAATATGAACAACAACTGAACTACAATTTCAAATATCTTCTAGTCGAAAACTAAAAAAAACTTGGTATTTTTTTTTATAAGGTAAATTGTATTAAATAAAAGGGAGGAAAACTTCCTTATACAAGAAGTATACCAAAATTAGAGAATTTACGTTAAAACATGATTCTCTACAAAAGACAACAAATCTTATATACAAGTAGGGACTACATGGGGGCACCAAAAAACGATCAAAGATAAAAGACTATTCTTAAGTTGAGCAAAGGAAGACTCAATCCCCTCAAATGCTCTCCTATTTCTCTCCCCCCATACTATCCACGTGAGAGCTAATGCAGCAAACTTCCAAGCCTTTTGCCTTCTTCTTCTACGAAAGTCAGTCCAACTATGTAATAAGTCTCTAACAGAGCTTGGCATCATCCATTGAACGCCAAAATAATTTAGGATAATCCTCCACAAGCCCGAAGATACGGGAAATACAACAAAAGATGATCAACTTCTTCCCCCGAACTTTTGCACATATAACACCAGCTAAGGAGTGTAATACCTCTCTTTCTTATGTTTTTAGCAGTCAAGATCGCCTCCTCGCCGCCAACCATGCACAAAAAGGCGCCCTAAGGATCCAAATCGAGGAGTGTGGGAATGGAACCTCCTCCCTCACCGACATATTCTGATAAAAGGACTTTACTGAAAAAAAATCATCTCCCCTCAACCCCCATCTCCAAGAATCACTGACTGGGCCTATTTTGCCTGTAAATCAATTCCAGCAAGGTTTCTCTTTAGGCATAAAAAATATTTCCGTTCATATTTATACCCGACTACCTAATAGGCCAACTCTATTATCCAAACAAAAGGTAATTTGTTTTTTTATCTTGTTTGTACTCTAAGGGGTCATTTGGTTTGAATACGGCTTATGCCGGGATAAGTTATACTGGTATAAGCTCTATCGGGATAAGTTATGCTGGGATAGTTTTTTATCCATTGTTCTGTATATTGTATTAAATATGACAATCGCATAATTTGTAAGAAGAATGTATAAGTTATACCGGTGCTAATTACTCCACTCTCTATAAGGTATAAGTTATTCCGGTGTTAATTTTAATCCTGGGATAACTTATACCTGGTTTGCTAACCAAACGAAGTATTAAGGTGGTATTAAATTTTTATACCAGCATTATACCTTCTTATACCTTATACCAAACGACACCTAAAATATATATTTTTAATATATGTTTGTGCACAAATTTCCAAAAATAGATGGACCAATATATATTCCCAACGGGGTCATCAGTTCCAAATTGCAGAAAATAGTACAAGTCATGTCACGTTAGTCTACTTTGATATATGCAAACTCAGCGGTGCGTATTATTGAAGATAGCCCAGATTTTGCATGGCAAAGTTTTTGAACAAGACAAGAATGCAGTGCAAGGATATGTTTTGGAAGACTTCAGCACTACCTCAAAGAAGTCTGATGCTATTCCTGGCTGTTATAATAGTAATGTAGAAGATAATAGTATTAATTTCGGTTTGTATAATAGTTTGGTACCCAGTACTAGTACATTATCATGTAATAGGATGCAGTATATGCATCCTTCCTGTGTACACATCACTGAACCATAATATATGTTTATCTTCTTAACCAAAAAAAAAGTGGCATCTTTTAAAGAAAACTTTGTACTAGAAAACACCCTCAAACTCCATTATTTTGGCCCCAGGTGTTACCTGATATTTTTAGCATTTCGTGAATCAAGTTTTTAGAGGTAGAGGGTGGCCTAAGAAGTATTGGGGAGAGGTGATCAGGCAGGACATGACACGACTGTAGGTTTCCGAGGACATGACCCTTGATAGGAATGTCTGGAGGTCAAGCATTAGAGTTGTAGGCTAGGGGCTAGTAGAGCTTTCCCTACTTCATACCCGGGGTGAGGCGGGGTTGGATATGGTTGATCTTAGATGGCTTGCAGTTTATGTTGAGTCCACACTATCCTTTCTGTTTATCTTAGCCCCGAATCATAGATACTGGTTACTGTTATTGCATGTCGTTTATCTTTTGTTTTTTATGCTTCTGTTACTATTTCTACGGTTTTCGCTGAAGTTACAAATGAATTGTCTTTTCTTGTTTTATTTCCGTATTTCTGAGTCGAGGGTTTATCGGAAAAAACCTCTATGCCCCCATCGGGATAGGGATAAAGTTTGCATACACATTATCCTCCCCAGACCCCACTTTGTGGGATTTTAAGGGGTGGTTGTTGTTGTCGTCGTCATCGTCGTGAATCCAACTTTTAAACGAAATCATTTTCGTGCAGTTACCATAAAACACGATTTTTACGGAATTGTATCTATTATTGGTATATTTACATCAGTTCTTTGTTCGTCTTGCTCACATAATTAAGATTCTACCGATGTTTGTTCGATGTGCGACTTATTGTATATCCCTTGTCCAGTAGTATGCAGCCAACCATCTTTACTTTGTGAGAGGACTTTGTTAACGGTGATGGAAGCACTGACTAACTATGCGGGTATGCAGAAACTTAGGCTTTCTTTGTGTCCGTAAAGAACTGTTATAAGTTCTTTACAAACAAAATGTTCAATTGTTAACAAGGTATAACTCAGTCATACTGTCAAATTCACCCTATTTCCAAGTTGGATAACTTATTGTTGCCGGTGAAATGTCATCGGACCCAGGCTAGTTTTCTATTAGAATGAAGAAGACGGGAAGAAATGAAGAAGAAGAAGAAGAGGAATTAGGGTTCTTCACCTAATGCATATGGTTAAAAGGGTAACAGGCTGGTTTTGGGCTACACGAATGTTATTGGGCCTAACGGGCCACAAGCAAATATTCTTTGGTATATTATAGTCTAGGAACTTTCTAGAATATCCTAATTATCAATTCTTCTTTTACTTTCACACACGTGGAAAATGATAGTTCGTGAAATGTATATATATTTTTCCTCACTTGTACAAAAACAGAATGAACAGAATACAATTCCAATTTGCCTTCTACAAAATTTCTCTCTATAAAATCAACATGGTATTAGAGCTTGTGTTCTACCCAGCTACTTTCAATCTATTACATTTTCCTTCTAGATTCTCTAGGATTCTGTTCTGTTGCTCAAAATTTTGTGAGTTTTTGATTTTGAAGCTATTCTAGTGGCAGTAGTAGTGACGAAAATTGATCCAGATCACCCTTATTTTCTGCATCCTTCTGATTCTCCTGGAATGTGTTTGATTTCTCCTCCTTTTGATGGAACTGGATATGGAAGTTGGAGAAAATCAGTATTGATTGCTTTATCAGCCAAAAGCAAACTAGGTTTTATTGATGAAAGCTTACCCAGACCTAAAGAGGACTCACCAGATCTGAAGTATTGTATTAGGTGCAATGACATGGTTTTTGCTTGGCTCCTCAACTCTCTCAATCTAGACATCAGGCCAAGTGTAATTCATCCCAAATATGCAAGGATTATGTGAAAACAACTCGAGGAGAGGTATGGACAATCAATCCTAGCACAATCATTTGAATTACAAAAACAGTTATTAGAAACAGTGCAAGGATCCTTAGATTTCGCAACTTATTTCAATAAGATGAAGGCTATTTGGGATGAAATAGAATTGCTTGATGCTAGGACTATCTGTATCTGTGTTGACTGCAAGTGTGGGGCTAATGACAAAAATGCTGCATGAGAAGAAAGACAGAAACTAGTTCAGTTTTAATGGGATTGAATGAGTCTTATACTAGTGTCAGGGGTAATATCATGATGATGCATCCACCACCTAACATTGATAGAGCATATTACCTACTTTTGCAAGAGGAAAGGTAGAGAGGGATACAGACTATGGAACAATATCCTAGTGAGTCTGCTTCTTTTGGTGTTCCAACCCAAAGACCTACTCATGTTCAGGGCAGAACCACAAATTTTACAAAACACTGGAGGTTATACTTTCAGAAACAACCAAGGGAACATGAGAAATCTCAATTGCAACTATTGTAAAAAGCAAGGTCACACAATTGACAAGTGCTATAAACTTCATGGCTATCCATAGAATTTTAAGCCAGTTCTCAAACAAAGAAGATTTCAAACCCCTATTCAAGGCAATGCTGTTACAATAGATGAAGGCTATCGGCAAGTTCAGGCTAGTGATACAGAGGCAATTATAGGTATAAAATAAGAACAACTATCCCAGTTGATGGAACTACTTCAACAAGTTAAAGTTAGTCATCAAGCTGCCATAAATACTGAGGTCAATGTAACTGCTAACCGTGCTGGTACATGCTTGCCTATTCTTCCCTACTCACATAATAACTCTAAGAGTCATATTTGAATTCTTGACTCTGGTGCTTCCGAACACATGACTTTTGACCCTATTATCATAGTTAATATCAAACCTCTGGTCAACCTTGTTAATGTTAACTTACCTAATTCACAAAGGGTAAAAGTTACTTTAGCAGGTCAAGTGACTATACATCCAGACCTAACCCTACAAAGAGTGCTTTGTGTTCCAAATTTCAAATTCAACCTCATTTCAGTTAACAAACTATGTTGTCAATTTAAAGTTCTTCTTACCTTTGCTGAAACTTGTTGTTTGATGCATGGCCTTTCTTTGAGGAGGCCTCTGGTTCTTGATGATGTCAAAGCTGGACTTTACCTTCCATTCCACTCATCATTCCAATGATTCCCCGCATTCAGATCGGAATATCACAATTACTCAACAATCTTTTCAAACTTCCTGTAACTCACATACTTTGTCTACTTCTGTTAATTCTGGGAACAATTTGTGGCATGTAAGTCTAAGACATTTACCTATCTCTACAATGAAATACATTTTTGCTTTACCACAAAATGTTGTTTGTAAAGAGAATACTCCTTGTTCCATTTGCCCTATGGCTAGGCAACACAGATTACCCTTTTCTGATAGCAATAGTTCTATTTCTCACATTTTTGAACTCATTCATATTGATACTTAGGGCCTTATAAAGTACCTTCATATAATATTTTTAAATACTTTCTTACAATTATTTATGACTTTAGTAGGGGTACTTGGACCTACGTGTTGAGCACCAAGATTAATGCTTTCACTGTCCTAAAATCTTTCATCTCTATGGTAGAAAGAAACTTGAAGTCAAGGTCAAGAAAATTAGATCTGATAATGCTTTTGAATTAGGCAGTAGCATTGAAGCCATAGCTTATCTTTCTCCCAAAGGAATTCTTCACCATACAACTTCTGTTGGTACTCCTCAACAAAATGGTGTTGTTGAGAGAAAATACAAGTATCTCATGGAAACATGTAGAGCTCTTCTCTTTCATTCTAAAGTTCCTATTTGTTATTGGGGTGAATGTCTCTTTACTGCCACTTTCCTCATCAATAGATTTCCAAATAAACTCCTTCATTATAAATCTCTTTATGAAGTGCTTTTTCACAAAGCACCTGATTATACTTTCCTTAGAAGTTTTGGTTGTCTATGTTTTGCCTCTACTTTGCCTCATCATAGAGACAAACTTGATCCTAGAGCAACCATTTGTGTCTTTCTTGGATATCCTACTGGCAAAAAGGGGTACAAGTTATTAAACCTACAAACTAAAGCCATTTTCATTTCTAGAAATGTTATTTTTCATGAATCAGTTTTTCCTTTTACCAGCTCTCACACTAATTTTTCTTCTCTATTTCCTACCCCTTCTAATACTGATTTTTCAATATATGATGATTCATCACCTGCTCCTAATTCTTCTTCTGTTCCTCTTGTTCCCTCTCATGTTTTCTCTCCTAGTCCTCAAGAACAGACTTCTGTTCCTCCTTCACCTTTTGTTTCCTATCCTTTAACTCACCACAGTCCTAGTTCTAATTCATCATCTCCTGCTTCTCCTAGTTATTCTTCCACTACTCCCACTACTTCTACTAATTCTGTTTCCCCTCCAAATACTGTCTCTTCACCTACTTTCATCACTAATGATTGTGTCTTGCGTAGTTCTTTAAGAGAACACAATGCACCTACCTATTTGTCTGACTATGTTTGTGGGGTAGTGTATTTAGCTGATGTTTCTACCTCCTGTTTTCTTTCACCTATCTCTCCTTCTATTATTTCTACTAATACACTCTCTATACCTAACCAAAACCTTCTAAATTGCCTCCCCCACATCCATGAACCTTCTAGCTATTCTCAGGTAGCATTTGACCCTGGTTGGCAAGAAGCAATGGCCAAAGAACTTGATGCCTAAAAGGCCAATTATACTTAGGAGGTTGTTCCACTACCTGTTGGAAGAAAAGCTCTACCTTGTAAATGGGTCTACAAGGTAAAGCTGAAGTCTGATTGCAATGTAGAGAGGCTTAAGGCTCGTTAAGTTATTCGTGGAGACACCCACCGAGAAGGGATTGATTTTACGAAGACGTTCTCTCCTGTCGTCAAAATGAGTACCATTAGATGTATACTTGCTATTGCAGTCAAGAAAAATTGGGGTCTTTATCAATTAGGTGTGAACAACGCTTTTCTTCATGGAGATTTACATGAGGAGGTCTATATGAAGTTTCCTGCTGGTTTAGACCCTCTTGATCCTAACCTAGTTTGTTGCTTAAGAAATCTCTCTATGGGGTTTGTCAAGTATCTAGGCAGTGGTATGCCTGCTTGACTGCTACTCTCAATTTCAAAGGTTTTACTCACTCTCTCAACAACTATTCTCTCTTCTACAAAAATAGTGGTGATTCTATTTCTTTGGTTGGCAGTTTATGTGGACGTTATTCTGCTCACAGGCAACAATATTCAAAAACTAACTGATTTAAAGCAGTTTTTAGATCAAGAGTTCAAAATTAAGGACTTGGGGAACTTATCTTATTTTTTGGGCATGGAAGTGCTTCGTGAGCCATCTGGTTTGATCCTTTGCCAACGCAAGTTCATTCTTGACCTTCTCACTAAGTTTGATTGTTTTGGTTTGTCCCATGTCTCCTCTCCTTTGGATTCTTCCTCTAAGCTTCATACATGTGTTGGGCCTCCAATTTCTGATCCTCTACTTTATCGTCGTCTATTAGGGAAGCTCAATTTTTTGACTTGTACTCGTCCTGATATCTCTTTTGCCGTCCAGCACCTTAGTCAGTTCATGCAGGATCCTCGTGAACCTCTTTTTTCTACTGCTCATCACTGTCTTCGTTACCTTCTTCGTGACCCTGGTTTGGGCCTTTTTATATCTGCTGATCCTTCCCTTGATTTGCTGCCCTTTTGCGACTCCGATTGGGTTTCCTATCCTGATAGTCGTCGTTCTGTTAGTGGTTTCTTTATAAGTTTAGGGGGTTGTCCTATTTCTTGGAAGTCAAAGAAACATCCTTCGGCCTCCTTGTCTTCTGTTAGGCCGAATACAGGTCGATGAGGCGTGTTGTTGCTGAAATCACCTGGCTTGTTCGCCTTCTTGATGATCTTTCCATCGTCCCTTCATTACCCGTTCCACTTCACTCAGATAGTCAGTCCGCCATTGACATCTCTAAAAACCTAGTCTTTCACGAGCGTACCAAGCATGTGGAGCTTGACTGCCATTTTGTCCGGCAACAGTTCCAAGCCGGTCTCATCTCTCTGTCTTTCCTTCCTTCTCACCACTAACTCGCTGATCTTTTCACCAAGCCTCTTTTTGGGCCTCTTCATCATGGTTTGCTAGGCAAGTTGGGTGTCCTTTCCGTCCCATCCAACTTGAGGGAGGTTGTTGCCATTGAAATGTCACCGGACCCAGGCTAGTTTTCTTTTAGAATGAAGAAGACAGGAAGAAATAAAGAAGAAGAAGAAGAAGAAGAGGACTTAGGGTTCTTTACCTAATGCATATGGTTAAAAGGGTAACAGGCTGGTTTTGGGCTACACGGATGTTATTGGGCCTAATGGGCTACAAGCAGATATTCTTTGGGATGTATAGATAGTCTAGGAACTTTCTAGAATGGAATTTTTACATTCCTATGCAATATAGTAAACTATATTACCCTCCATGCTTAACATTTAATATAATTACCTTTTATTTACCTAATTACCATTTATGTACATTTTAGGAGTTTTAATGATATTAATTAGTCTCCTAATTTAACTCTACCGTATATTCCCACTCCCCCCAACTTTATCTCACCAAATCCCACCCCCTCACCCACGTATCAAACCACACCCCATGATTTCCTCTTCTAAAACCAGCAAAAATTGGTAACCCCTCCACCATTGACGGTTATTAAAAAGCTTTGAAGCTTTGAATTCGAATTTGGGTTTTCAAAAGACATTGTTTGTTTGGATTGGATGTTGTTGCAAAGAATTGAGAATTCTCTCTACGTCTCTCTCTATCTCTCAATCCAAATTTCAGTAATATAAAGCAAAGGAAAAAAGAACAGCAATTCCACCATTGACAAACATTAAAAAGCTTTGAAGCTTTGAATTCAAATTTGAATTTTCAAAAATCATTATTTGTTTTGATTGGGTGTTGTTGCAAATAATTGGGAATATGGTTTGGAGTTTATATCTCAATTTTGAGGGGTTTTGGTGAAGATTAGACTTGGTTTTGGCTGAATTTAAGATTGAAACTCGACGACGACGACGAAGAAGAAGAAGAAGAAGACGACATGACATACATTATATTGCAAAAATTTTAGTAAAATTGTAGAAAAATTGTATTCTGTTGTTTATTTATTTATTTTTTTATTCATTTAACTATTGTATGAAAGTTGAACAACATTGTATAAAAATTATATTTAAGTTGTATGCTATTGTAGTTGTATATAACTGAGTAGAAATAATGTACGAAAATTGTAGATAAGTTGTATAATATATAATTAGTTGTATGAAATTTGTTTTACTATGTATAAATCATATATAAAATATACAAAAGACATATTGTATAAATTTTGTATTTAAGTTGTACGATATTGTAGTTGTATATAACTGAGTAGAAATAATGTATAAAAATGTAGATAAGTTGTATAATATATAATTAGTTTTATGAAATTTATTTTTACTATGTATAAATCAGATACAAAATATACAAAAGACATATTGTATAAAATTTGTATTTAAGTTGTATATTATTGTAGTTATATATAACTGAGTAGAAATAATGTATGAAAGTGTAGATAAGTTATACATAAGTTGTAGGTAGAAATAAAAATAATGGGTCTAGTTTAATAATTCACATGATTTTTCGAGCCAGCCTGTGACGAACTTGTAAAGGTCCCTGCACCTCAAAGGTGCCAAAAACTAAATTCTTCCAATATTGGTACGTTGAGTTGCATTTTGGACATAACTCACATATACTTTTCCGTAATACAAAATTTGAAACAATTTTGCTTGCTATTAGAGAATAATTTATTAGTATTTATATCCAGATTCATAAATTTTTTAGTAGATGAATTAATTTGTTGCTTTTGACTCGATTCTAGGCTTTCTGTGCAATTGTGTCCTACCAGTGTGATGGCTTTTCTTTCTTTTATGACGTGATAGGCCTTCATAGTATTAAAGGGGAGGGTTGAAAAAGAAGATTATGATTGTTTTTTCTTGAAATGTGGGAATCAATCTGTATAAACACAAATAATATAAAAAAAAAACGGAAAGAGAGAAAAAAAAAAGGAAAAGGGTGTAACTAAATCTCTTGATTGAAGGAACAAATAATGGATTTGGGAGCCTTTTAAGGTGGATTGTATATATTTTGTAAACAAAATTTGTTTATGCCAGGTAATTAGCTAAACGTGGACATTAAGGGTAATAAAGTTTCAAATAGTGTATAGGAATGAAAAAATTACTTCTAGAATATCTAATTACCAATTCTTCTTTTACTTTCACACACGTGGAAATGATAGTTAGTGAAATGTATATATATTGTTCTTCACTTGTACAAAAACAGAATGAACAGAATACAATTCCAATTTGCCTTCTACAAAATTTCTCTCTAAAATCAACACTTATGAACTTGTATAAAATGAATATTGATGTGTTCAGTTAAATAGAATTTTCTAACAGTTTAACCCTATTTAGCTTAATTGATATCTTCTCGAACCATATTGTATTCCAGTTAACTTTTGTGGTAACTTTTGGGTCGCAATAAATTAACCTCTTCCACTATGTGTTTCTTTTGTTTGGCGTTCAGTTGTCTATAGGAAGTTTCAGCTTAGGCGCATTAACTGTAATAACACTTATACTGTGAATTGCAGTATGGAAAAAACTTTGATGTGGCTACGGTGCTTGACATAAGCCGAAAATAAGTGAATAAGTTTCTCGACTTTTAGCTAAAATTGAGGTTATATATGTTCTCCTCCCAATGTATCTGAGCTTAATTAACAGTGATATGCTGAAATTAATTTCACATGTGATTAATTACCAAGATGGATTGTTGAAGGAAGCAGATTTAGGTGAGGCTTAGAAGAAAAATCTTTGCTAAATTTGCAACTACGAAGTAAGTTGGTTATTGTGTCTGTCGTGGTAGCCATTTTGCAGGTCCAATTATGAAATAGAAGACTACGTTTAATGGATAGAGAAAACATGAGCAGGTTAATATCGTTATTGTATTGTTTATGCTGTTGGCACATATATGGGAAGTTACTCAGCAAAATGATGAAACTAATGCCAAAAGGAGCAAATTTGAATTCTTGTACTTCTTAAAAACATATAGGTGCGCAACGTTATACATCTGCAATGAAACATGAAAAAACTGAAATGAAATCTATTAGCTTCAAGAAATGAAATTTGATGCATAGATGACGAGAGACCAGGTATACAAGAATGGCAGAATGTATTGAATAAACATCTATAGGCCTAAAGTTTTCAAGCACGTTTAGCCACTGAAAATTAATTATGCATCTATGCTCTTTTAAATCTTTTGCAAGAAAATGGAAGGAAAGTGAGTCTAGCTACGTACTCATCCCAATTCTTGAGTCTGTCTTGCGATTTGGATAAGAGTCATTTGCCATACTGTTCTAAACCGCTGGCCAGAGCTGGTCCAAACCAAATGGATCAGCATCCTCAAATTCCGCATGTCTATCTCTTGCATCAACCCTCTCACATGTTCCAACAAATGTCTTGTCAGGCTTCAAGCGATCTGTATTGCTGATCTTCTTCAGCTGCTGCTCATCAGCACCTCCATATATATCAGAATCCACATCTTTCTTCGGTCTGTATAGAGTAGAAAGAGTAGGCTGAGCAGTAAATAGGCCTTTATCATAGATGTTGTAGGCATCATCAGTACTAGCAAATCCAGAATCCATCCCCTTCTCCTGGTTGAACAATCTCTGGTCATACATCATGACATCTCCTCTTGATGTACAAGCCATCCCAAGAGCCACCTTTTCGCTGATATCACGGTCTCTATCACTGGTGATCTTTCTCTTCTTACCACCCACTGATGCAGCATCTTTTGCTGCCTCCAATCTCCTCTGCCGACGTCGCTCCTCACGTATCTTCTCTCTCTCATGTATCTTCTCTCTCAATAATCCACACTCATAATTCACACTTCTCATAGGACCTGCAGCAATTCTCTCAGATCTTGCCTTGCGAGCCAACTGCAGAAGTTCCATCTCTTTCTTTTCCTTCTCTTTCATCATCAGCTCTTTCTTCACCTTTGAACGCATTGCAACCGCTTCTCGGGCTTTCTCTTCTGCAACATAGAGAGCCTCCAAAAGTTTTGCCATATTATCATTGACATGGACCTCTTGAAGTCCCCTGCCATCAGGGCCAAGACGCCTATCAAGCGGGATTGCATAACCTTTGGGGTTCTTCCAGTTTGATATACAAGGCGGTATCTTCCAATCCTGTTGGTCCTTCACTGTAACAGGACGAGGAGGAGAATGCATAAGAGGCACAGGTGGTGAACCAGAGGCCCCGGGGACCTTCTTGTGCTTGAACATAGGAGGCTCGATAGGGTCCACCGGCATCTCCACCATCCTAATAATCCTCTCCATTGCGCCTGAATTATATGCTGATGACTGCTGGGAAGGCTTGTACTTAATGAACTTGGGGTCTTGAGATTGTGCAGGAACTTTTGTGGGCTGTGCGGCTGCAACATTTATCATCTTCTCAAGGGCAGCCTTCGTCTCCCGGGCCGTCTCCTCAATTATTTTTTGCTTCTCTTCCACGTCCAAGTCTTCGTCATGATCCTCATCTTTCACAACCTTCGCGACAAGATCCTTGTGCTGACAATAAACAATTTTCTTAGCGTTCTCGCCCTGCCTTACAATTGCATCATATCTCACTTCACCGTACTCGCCTACTGTAACAGGCAGAGTCATTGCCCAATCTTTGTTTCTGCCCTTTCTACCCATATCAAGAGGATATTGTGCATAATGAATTTCAGGGAATGCTCCTCCATCCCCAAAATCGTGTACCCGTTTTAATGGTGGAAGACAGGCCATAACTAGAAAAGAATATGTTGGGGAATGAATTGCTATGTTTGGGTTTATATAATGTTTTACGGAGTAATCCTAAAAGGAATGAAATTCTACGAACAAGAGGATTCTATTCCTACTGATACCAGGACTGGGATCCTAAAAATCGTTCCTAAGGAAAAGACGAAAAGTTTTCCTAAAAGGAATGAAATGCTACATAGGAAAACCAAAGGTTAATTTCTATTCCTATTTATACAAGAACTAACATTAAGGATATTTCTGTACGCTTTTGCACCGCTCCTTCTTTTTAATTTGCAACATGCTTTTTAAAAAAAATTGATTTACCTATATTCACTTAATTACAAAACAATTAAAAAGCTCATTTTTTATAAAACTAAGATGAGGAATTGCGAACAAAAGTAGAGTATTTTTTTTAGGAAGACTTTTAAAAAACATGTTCAAGTGCTCAGTACTCACCGGATCTTGCCAATATATTATTTTATTGTCATCTTCTTTTATGTTTCGTTTATTTTGAAATACTTGCTACTGGGGTGTACAAACCAAATTAAAAAACTACACCAAATCGAAAAGTCAAACCAAACCGATTGAAAATCCGATTATGTTTGATTTGATTCGGTTTGGTATTGAGTAAAAAAAATCGATCCAAACCGACAAATAAATGTACAATTGTTATATATATTTTAAAACTTTATATAAAAATTTCTTTATAAAATATCTAGAAAAATTTCTTTATAAAATATCTGGAATTCCCGGCCACATTTTTATTGACTTTAAATAATGGGTCGTATCATCACTTTCTTATCAAGTGTTAGTGAAATGCGTCAATCTCTTTGTTCTTTCATTTGTTAGGTGTTTGTCCAGATTTTCTTACAATAATTGGTTTTCCTATCTCATGAAAGAAAGGGCAACATATTTACCATAATTGGGTTTTCTTTTCCTAGAAGAAAAATATAATTCTTTCATATTTAGCTAGTCCCTTTTCTTGTAGGAAAAGGTTTGGAGTTCTATAAATTGAGGATCCTTCCTTCTCATTCAGTAGCATCCACAATGTAGCCATAGAGGGCTTGAGAGTCTTACTTAGGGGGAGAACTTTACGGGACAAGTGTTAGTGTGTCACTTATGTTTGCCTCTTCGTGAGGTTGTTCTTTCGATATTTTGTACTCTCTTTTTATTATAGTGGATTGCTCATCGCCGCTGTGGACGTAGGTCAGTTGACCGAACCACGTCAAATGTTTGTGTCTCTTTTGGTAGATTTCTCTTTTGTTATCTGATTTATCGTCGTTGAAGCTTTGCTTTAATAGCTTCCGCATGACACCTAATTTTTTTCGGTCCTAACAAGTGGTATCAGAGTGAGGTTCGAGACAGGTTCATCTTGACAGGTTCAGTTCTAGCCGCAACCTATTTGACGATAATCATGATTTTTGTCTGAGAAATTTGGCCGGTGTGCTAAGCACGTTGAGACAAACTTTATGGTGGAGATTTGAGGATGCGACCTGTTGAAGGCTATGTCAAGAAGGTGGATCAAGTTTGTTTTGTCAGAAAATTCAAGCCACGGGGGAGAATTGTTAGGTGTTGTCCAGATTTTTTTACAATAATTGGTTTTCCTATCTCATGAAGGAAAGGGCAGCATATTTACCATAATTGGGTTTTTCTTTTCCTAGAAGGAAAATATAATTCTTCCATATTTGGCTAGTCCCTTTTCTTGTAAGAAAAGGTTTGGAGTTCTATAAATTGAGGATCCTTCCTTCTCATTCAGTAGCATCCACAATGTAGCCATAAGGGGCTTGAGAGTCTTGTTTAGGGGGAGAACTTTACGGGACAAGTGTTAGTGTGTCACGTGTGTTTGCCTCTTCGTGAGGTTGTTCTCTCGATATTTTGTACTTTCTTTTTATTATAGTGGATTGCTCATCTCCGCCGTGTAGGTCAGTTGACCGAACCACGTTAAATATTCGTGTCTCTTTTGGTAGATTTCTCTTTTGTTGTATGATTTATCGTCGTTGAAGGTTTTGCTTTACTAGCTTCCGCATGTTACCTGATTTTTTTTCCGTCCTAACACCATTTTCATATGACATGATCTATTAAATTTTTATATTTTTTTTCGAATTTAAAATTAAATAGAGCATATCATTATTTAGGAATCATATTGATTTTTATGTTTAATTTATAAGTTCAATCACCTTGAAAGTGTACATCAATGAAAAATTATTATAAGACGACTAAAAAATAATTATCATTTGTTATTAAGAAAATTTTTCCATAGAATATCTTAATAGATCATATGTTTGTCAATTTTTTAATTTTTACTAAACATATATTTACTTATCAAAAATTTAATAAAGTAAAATTAAAATAATGCTCATGCTACAAAAAAGTCCGAAAAATCCGACAAAACCGAGCGGTCATATCCACCCCTACTTACTACTTAGGAAATGGGCACTCACCGCAACATTTTCGTAAGCCGATCAAAAATGTATGCAACAAACAAATATTAAGAAGCAAATGTTGCAGAAATATTAATGTGATTATTCTAAATTTACTTGGAGACCAAGCTAAGTACTTGGTGATCAAGCTAGTTACTAGAGAACTAATTTAGTGGCTTGGTGACCAAGTTAGTTACTTGTCTTGGTCACTATGCAATTTTCTTCTTGTAAATAGGATGCCTTCCTAACTCGACATTAATTAAAGTTGAATTTAACTCATTTAGAATCAATTTGCTGGAATAATTATTTTCTGAACTTAAATTCCCGTCCGCACTTCACTAAATTGACACTTAATGAAATAGTTTTATTCTGGAAAAATGACACTGTATACGGTCAGTACGAGCCTACCCTTTTTATGACTAATCGAGGTTGGATCATGATAGGCCACGGTTCGGCCTCGTATTATATCGAGCCTCAATGCGAAGTTAAATTACCGAACCTTTAATTTTGAGAGCGACCAAGGCCGAGATCGGCCGAGATCGAGACCAAGCAGAACGGAGATCAAGCGAGACCGATGGAGGTTTTCTTAGTCAAGTAACGGTAAGCCGTAATATCCGTGATCAAGCAAGGATCACGGCGGAAATCTAGACACGTATCAAGATGAGATCGAATAATTAGCTAATCATGGGATTTCTTACTGTATTTAGAATTATACCATAAGCAGAAATCCCCTACTATAAAAATAGGGTTTAATCATTTGTAAATGCATCAAATTCACGCAATTCCATGCAATATACTATCCTTTCTTTAAGTTCTCAATACTCTGTTCATATCTTATTTTTGCTCATTCATTTGGTTCGAGGGTAACTTGTTTCAAGGGCCAAACAGTGACGGAGCCAGGATTTTGTGCGAATGCGTTAATCTTTGAAGTACATAACTTTTGTGTAGTTGTGAAGTGGGTTCAAATAAAATATTTATACAAAATTTACACTGTTTTAATCATAATTTATACATATACACAGTATTATTTTTTGGAGAAGCGGGTTCAGTTGAACCCGCTTGCCACCACGTGCGTCCGCCACTGGGGCCAAAGCAGCGCATATTATTTGGTTTGCTTTGTTTTTCTTTACAATCAATTTTAATATCTATTTACATATTATCTCAGTTTGTGCCAAGTGAGATCACATATCCTTAAAACCACATATAAATTCAATTGTTATCCGTTTTTAGGGTAAACATACATATAGCTGTTCTCAAAATATTAGCCGATATATATATATATATATATATATATATATATATATATATATATATATATATATATATATATATATATATATATCTTACACTTCTGCGGCAATCAAATGTAAATAGTTTCTGCTTCGGCCAAAAATGATGTTTGTCCCGTTGTTTTTGACGTATAATTAACCTGCTACAGAGGTGCTTTAGTTCTAACCGTAAGATGAGTCAGCTATCAAAGGTCTTCAGAATGACATACGCCTAAGGGGCCACCTAAGCCATAAAATACGCTGCCCTCTCTCATAAAATACCGTGCCATCTCTTTCTCCACCCTCTCTCTTCAATTGTTTGTTTTGTTGATTGGAAAAACAAACTTTTGAGAAATTCTTACAGTTTACTAGATCGAACTTTCCACGGCCTATCCGTCGTAATCGATCCCTCCGTACCCTCCGTTTTTCTTCCCTTTCGTTTTTCTTAATTCACCAACTAACAATTCAAATAAAAATCATGAACCCTTAAAACTGTTTCTGCACTATAGCCGCTGACAATAGCATCTCGATGTGTTAATTTTTAAATCTCCTATCGACGAGAGGACATTAGGGTAATTCTTAAACAAAGACGATAGAGTTTTGGTACTGAGCAACTTGAAGAGTCTGTTACCTTTTTTTTTTCATTGTATTTCAATGTATCTCGCTGTATTAGGAGTTTTGGGGCTGAGCAACTTGAAGAGTCTGTTACCGGTTTTTTCATTGTATTTCAATGTAGCTCGTTGTATTCTATGTATTTTATTGTATTCATTGTCTTTTTTTGTATGATATTTCAATGTATCTCGCGGTATTCCATGTATTTCATTGTATTAACTATCTCACTATATTCCATGAATGTATTCAAATTTTTTTTTAGTTAATATAATTTATATATTCAAATTTATAATTGAGTTTGTTGAGTTATATTAGGAGTCTATTATGTTAATTGATTCACTTTCCGTTTAAAAATAGTGTAATCCCCTGTTTCACGCCGTGAATACAGTCGAATACAATAATCTGTCCAGCTGTAATCCCATCTTTCACGCCATGAATACAGTCAAATACACTCGAATATAAAAATCTATCTAACTGTAATCCCCTGTTTCACGCCTAGAAATGCTACCGTATTCATGAATACAGTAGCTTAAATACACTGAATACACTCTAAAAAATCTGAAAACATAGCTATAAGAAATAATATACTAAATGGTGGCTACAACTAGCTAATAACCACTAAAACATAGTGATTTATGAAAGTTTCTCTAATTTCTATCATGATACAGTCCACTAACAAACATGGCCATATCTGAATAAAGATAACTTCGCAAAGATAGTAGCCCAACCATATAGACCATATCTGAATAAAGAACATCATTTCCATTTCTTTTTATTGACAAGAGGGGTTGCTCTGATGGTAAGCAACCTCCACTTTCAACCAAGAGGTTCTGAATTCGAGTCTCCCAAAAGCAAGGTGGGAGGTTTTTGAAGGGAAGGATGCCGAGGGTCT